AAAAACGGTATCGTTTCCGCCGGCAAACTCTTTTTTGCTCTGACCAACCATCAACTAGTGTTCGATTTAAACTTTTGCAAATTGCGTCTTCTTCCGTGCAACTCAGCTTTTGTAAACGCTCTCCGGTGACGGCGAATTGCTGTGTAGTGTGAACCGTGTCATGGTACTTTTGCTTTGCGTCTGTATCCGAAAGTGTGGCTCTCGACAGCGCGCCTGCGATGTACATTTGTGCCCCAGGCTGGTAGACGATTTCCAAATCGTATTTAGGTAGCATCCTCTGGAAATGACACGGCACAACATGGATTGGCTTTTTGACGATTGAAACCGATGGCTTGTGATCAGTATGTACAATGGTCTTTCGCTTAAGTGTAGTCGTTGAAGTGTTGTACCGCACAAGTTATTGCGAGCATCTCCTGCCGGGTTTGGGCATAAGGATTTTAAAAGCGAGGGTTCTTCCCTTTTGCATTAAAACCGCTCCGATTTCATGCCGACTGCTATCGCACTATATCTCGAGAGGCAAGGATGGATCAAAATAAGCGAGGATTGGAGCAGCCGATATGTGACATTTTAATCGATTGAAGACTTTATGTTGTTCGTTATCCCAGTTCCAGTCTTCTCGTTTGTGCGTCAGTTTGCGTGTAGGTGTTATTATTACTGCCAATTTTAGTAAAGGGCGACTCAGGTAGCTGACCATTCCGTTCAACCGAATGGCCCCTACCACGTCAGTAGGGAGTGGCATTTCTTTTATCGCCTTGACATTTTCTGGATCAGGCTTCAAGCCATCGGAGCTCAAAACTTGTCCGTGAAACACTACCTTTGGTTTACGGACTTCAACTTTCTCACGTTTCAATTTAACGTTTTTGTCAGTGCATCTCTGGAGGAACCGATCGAAATCGTTATTGTGTTCTTCTGCAGTGGAGCGGAATATCAGTACTTCGTCAGCTACAAATTGTTCCTGTCAAATCTTCTAACGCTTGTAAGCGACATTTTTGGAGGATTTCACTGATGACTTTCAAACCGAATGTGTAGCCACCGAAATCTCCCGGATGGTGTACCGAACGTCGTCAAATAGCTCGATACGTCATCCAACCTGACATGCAAAAATGCGATAGCTGGATTAACGTTCGTGAAATACCTTATCTGAATAAAACCATAAGAAGAGGAACACTGGCAGATGTCAACATTTCGTATTGTCTCCTCACTGCAACTCAATAACATGAAAATATATAAGACGACAGGTAGGGTGAGACTGGAACAAGTTAGAATAGGGTAAGGGGTAGGCGTGACACCCCTACACCCAGGGCAGCCGTAGCTTTACGAACAACTGTTTCTGCACACAGAGTGTAGGTTTCATTCAGCTGATCGCGACTGCCTCTGTGTAACGTAGGAAACGGGCGTTAGCATGTCTTAACACGATTGTAAACATTTTGGCCATATCAAACTGATGACAGGTGACCAGCAAATGCGTATCTATGGATGAAGCAGGTGGCTTACATGAACTAGTGGTATGAGCAATCTACGACTGGGTGATTTGCCGCTGCAACGATTTAGGTACATGTTCCCTTATTCTAGAGTTCAACCATCTATTGGTACGGCCGATGTAGCGTATATCACAACCACAAGTAACTTTTTAAATACAATGTAAGTTAGCACCAATAGGTTGCCTTTCCGTCATGGGGGTACCAGGTATTCGATAAGAGCAGTTTCAATAGCAGAATAAGTCTTCTGGGCTGCGGAAGTTATGCGCTTCGTTGTCCCCATTTTGGCAAAATCACCCTTAAACGGTAGGTCGATGTAGACCTTTTTAGACACTGTCGAAACTTTCTGTCCCTTCACCCTAGCGCGACTGTGTTTCTCAATGAATCTTCTTGGATAGCCGTTTTTCAACAGCGTATTCTTGAACGAGTTTATCTCATCATCTAAACTGTCGGTGGTGCATATTTTCCTTGCACGGTTGATAGAACAGGCAGTAGATCGTCTAATGTTGGTAGTGTGTAGTGCTCTCTTCTAAGAGCGGCCTTAAGCGGTTTTAGATCCGTACACACCCATAAATCACCTGACTTCTTCGTAACAATTGCCACCTCGATGACCCAATCTGTACGTTCGTCAGCCTTGGTTATAATGCCGGGTGCAGCTAGGCGCTGCAATTGTTGGGAAAACCTTATGCGCAGCGCTATTCGTATCTTGCTAGCAGATAATACCACTGGTACAGCAAACTCATCTAGCGGTAGATGTACGCAGCCGTTGAACTTCTTCACTCTATCGCCAAATACTTCAGGGTAACGATGCGCGATATCCAAAGCTAACTTACACGAATGTGCGAAGCGCTCTCGATTAAAAAGCAAAACCAATTTGCTGACCGGAATCAACACCCAGGGTGATCACAAAATCTCACTGTACGATGACAAACGTGAGCTGGTGGCTGGTTCCATCTTTCTTATTGATGACATTCAGCGGATGGTAGTTTGTACCGTTCCACATTTTAAGACAGTGTTGCGCTTTGTCACACTGTACCATACAACAGTACTTCTCCGACAAATATTGACCGTGGCCCCTGTGTCCAACGGGAAACGTACAGGAAGTTTTTCAACGATTAGCATCGCATTTACGCTTCTTTTACTAAGAATCCATGTTACTGATGGCAGGTTCATGGATAGCTGGCGCATCGTCACAGTCAACTGAATTCGCCTTATTTGATCCGCAACGTCTCGCTAAATGATTCTTCTACGAGCATATTACAAATGTCTTTCCGCACTTGGGATAACTTTCCTTCCGGGGGCGTTATGACTGCGACCACAGTACTGGTAGGCTAGTCCACGTATCAGAGCAGTCGGCGACATCGCATTCTCGGGTTCAGAAATATCACATAGTTCAGCGTATATGAGGCGAACTTGGGATGGTGTTACCATTTCTCTGTTGCAAATGTCATTTCATTGGTCCAGCGTCAGCTTTTTCTGTTGAAATAATTTTCGCGTAATGTCCTCACCCTGAATACCCAGTACAATTCAATCTCTCATCAACGAATCGCTTAGGTAGTTGCAAAAATTGCATATTCGTGTTGGCAATTTCAGTTCTGTTATGTAGCTGTTGACCCGTTCACCTTGAAATCGATTTCGACCAAAAAAGCAGGGGGTGTCGATAAGTTTCATTAGTCTTGCCTTCACATAATTTATCAAAACTTTGGACCACATCGCTCAAACTGACCTCTTGATGTTCGCTTTTTAATTTGATTGTCTCCAGCACGCGTCGCTTCATCACCGACATCATGTCGGAACATCGCCATCGGGTAATCAACCAGGTGATCATACAACTGCTTCAGTGCGGTAAAATCCATCCTCATGGCTTTCCACAGGTGACAGTTTTCGGGAAGCGAACCATCGTCATCTGTAATGGAGTCGGCATCGCGACAAACGGCTGCCAGCCAAAACATCCTGTCACCATGTCGTGTTGCTTCCTTCGAGAATCAAATTCGAAGACGGGGTTGCGATCACAATCTTTTTGGATCAGAATGCGATTTATTATAAGTGGGGTCATGTACGGTTGGATATCAGTCTGTCAGTGTAAAGTAGGGTGTTTATAACGCTGCGGTAAGGCCTGCCTTACTGCATGGCTCAGGTACCTGTCCAATTCGCTGTGAAAACATTAAACGCATGGTCGTGCTTTCGGGGTATTGCTTACATCCAGTGAGAACCCTGGGTGAGCAATGCTTAGTTCTGCCAGTTGGTTTTTGCCAGGAAGCTTTCCGGGGTCTCATTCGAATCTTAGCTGAATCTTAATAGCTTACGTTCGCTAGGTGATATCTTCCAAATGCCCATTAACTGACCTCCTCGGCGCGGATTAAACGCCGTGGCTGCTTCAACTGGTGCGAATCCGCGCGGTAGCCAACTGATGACGTGGTATAAAGGCATGAAGAACTTGACCGAGAGCTTTAGTTAGGCTAGTACATGCCGTAATCCTGGACGACGCCTCGGGATAGTCCACATCAGTGGTTGGAGACTATCAGCTATGACGCAGTCAATGGAAATCTCGCATTCGGTTTCTTGCGCCCAGCTGTTAATACTTATGCCATCATCTTTTAAGTTTGCGCCTTTCTGTTATGATTCCATTTTTCTTATATTCAGTTTGCCGTCCTTGTTTATTGCTTTTTGGCAAAGTGCGTCATAGCAACTGGATCCACCGCAATTCTATTCCCAGATCATCGTTTTTTTTAACTACACTGGACTGCTTGCTTGGCCTACCATTTATAGCCCAATTTTAAGTTCCCCATTTCACCGTTCGGACAACTGTGAAATCACTCCCCTCGTCGCTTTGGGGCTCATCACAGATTATCGGTGCTATGCATGCGCTCGGATCTGATAGGCAAATGATTTGTAATGGTGAACTAATTTCTGAACGCCATCTCTTTTAGCATGTTATCCACACTCCACCTCGTGGTTTAATCAAACTAGTTACAGTATTTATCGGTGAACATACGCGATTGGGAAATATGCATCCTCAGGACATACACGTTCACGGTTAACCCGCTCGTCTCATTTAAAGACACTCTGTCTTCATTGGCATATGAGAACCGACTGTGGCGGTGCCGTGGAAGAACCTTACAATTCCGCTTCTAGTGGCGCACGGGACGGTCCCGAGTAGTCCACAATTATTTAGCCAGATTGCATTAACTACCACCCCAATGACCTACCGGTTCACTCGGCCAGAGAAAGCTTTTGTGTCAGAAGCAAAACCTTGTCCACAACCTATATTAACCGGTTATGTACAATCAACATGTTGGTACTTTACCTCGTGCACAAAACTGGCATCAAGCTATCGTTGCTCTTAGATTGCGCACACACTGTTTTCGATTCTTCTGAGTCGCATTGCGAGAGAGCTGAAAATTAGTAGCCACATCTTCACGTTGTGATTCCTCCGTCATCGAAATGACTCTCGCTTCACGATATATGCACAGCATTGTAACAGATTATTCGCCTGTTTTATCCACCTGTTTTTCCATCCAGAATTACGCCCCCACACGTGTGACCGATGTGGTAAATTATTTTCCTCAAAGTACGATTTGCAAAGGCACATCAGTGCTACTCATTTAGGTGAGTCCGTGTTGTGCCGTTGTCCATGGTTTTACTTGCTTTCAGCCGAATAAACATTAGGATCTTTTCACGTTGAAGCCTAGCGTTCTTGTGTATATTGTGTCTACTTATCATGCCTCTTCCCCGCATTAGAGCTGACTCACATTTGTTCCGCAATACACTTGCTCTGAGTAAACCCATTCATTTACATCCGAACGGTTCAGATAACTATTCGCACAGTTTCCATTTCTTTTGCGCTTTGGCTTCTCTCGTTTCCGTTGTTGGTTTCCGTTGCTGCTAGTAAGCGACATTTTACCGCACGTGAAAGACGTCCAGGTACACGGTAAATGGGTTGAAAATATTGGTGGGTGTCGATTTGGTGATTCGAATCAAACCAAGTGTGCCAACACGGCGCTCATCACAGTTTTTCTCCCACCATTGCGTTGGTTAGCTGGACAATGCTCGCGTAAAATGTCGCTTACTAGCAGCAGCTGAGGCAATTGCTATCCGCCACCAGAACCCAGACTTATGTGCTCAAAAACGATTCGTTCAGATTCTGCGTTTGTCCTGGCCCTCTATCACAACGACTCGTTGAGGGACATGCCGCCGATAGTCCATCAATCACTTCGGATCTGTTTTCCAATGACCTTGAAGTTTGAACTCTACCATTATCTGCTGTTTTATGTTAGTCTTATTCCTATCAGTTGTGGTGTTTTAGCCTGACGAGAGCCACCGAAAACGAGCTTGTTCGCTAACTTGTCGTTCTAATGTCCACGCTTGGGATATTTTTCCACTTGAAACAATCATGTAGTGGTAGATTTACTGGATGGCGCAGGTAAATCCTAGTTGAATAAGCTTAAGCGTCGAGAATTGTGAACAGTAGATGCTACAAGTGATGAGCGTCGGATCAGTGCGATTATACGGCGGTGTTGTGCCTCCGATCGTCTTATTTCCGCTAATGACTGACACCACACACAGTTCCGATGGTGTCATTTATATTCCGACTCGTCGAATCAGCGCCACCATTCTGGATGACATCATCAGTTTTCACAGTTGTATCTGGTAGGCGAACCGATTGCTTCATTGAATTACCTTGGACGCGCTGTGCGAAGGACGCTCTAATTTGCCAACCCGTCCAGGTTAAGGCCTCTGATTAGTAAATAAACTTTTCAGTTTCACTTAGCCTATCTGAAGCACGAAAGGCGGTTCTACATGATGGTCAATTCCATTGAGCTCTTAACAGTCCTACACATCGTCCTTAAGGGCTCCGGGCGCTTGGAAGAACGTTTTATTGTGGCAACAAGCGTACATCATATCCCCTGTATCGTAACATCCATATTTCCGTTCCTTCGAGAATGTCTATTTGCTCTTAGCATTGTGCGCTCTTATTCGAAGGCCTCCTTCGAGCACTTCTTTCACGTTTTATTCTCCCGCACATTCGTCTGCTATATTCTGTCATTGTAATAAATTTGCTCCTCTCTGATCGCGTTAGCTTAGCCTCGAAGGTTTACGTGACGCTTGGATTCGGCTGACTCACTGTATCCGCAGATCCAGACAAACGATACACACGCTCTCGCGATACTAAACGCACTTACGAATCCGGTCGATTAGAATGATGCGCACGCTCACATAACCCACGCAAGTCGCAACTAGCCCACAAGATAATGGACAGAAACGAGGCAGACCTTTGAGGGCTCTTTTACGACCCACAATAGCCGAATACAGTTGGCACAGCGTTTCATTTTGTGAAAAATATAAATCACTACATCAGGCGTGTGATTTACCAAAGACCATTCGTCACATCCGTGCACCTAGTTAGACTGTCTGGGAACTGCTACATGATCGCTCGTATTTACTTCTGTTGGGTACCTCTACCTGATTAATATAGTAGTTACCCACACTTTAATCAGGGTTGTTGCGCGTGTACCGAATCTACCATGTTCTGCTTCCTAGCATGACTAATGATCACTGTTTCCTCTGATTCGCAGTCGTTCACTCGGTTACTACTCATCTGCACATTGATGAACTCAGCAGACTGAAAGATAGGCGCCCACTTCTACAAGTAGTCCAGGATTGTTGTGCATTTGTTAATGGAATGCATACGCCTTCAGTTGCATACGAAACCTTAGACTTAAGCTAGTTCCCCGTTGTTACTCTGTTGCGATACAGCGGTCAGTGCGAGATGGTGCCAAATACCCGTAACAGTTTTATGCCCTGTGCATAACAATTCAGCTGCAAAACGCAGATATGACTGCATTTTTAATATCCCCAGTGTTCAATGTGCAATGATTTTGCGTCACGATGTAGTTCATTACTCGGTGTTGTACGTGACTGTGAACGTTTTGGTTTCTGTTCCAGACCAGCGAGATCACACATGCGAATACTGTGGGAAATCATTTTCCGTAATAAACTACCTCAGGGCCCACGTGAAATCGATTCATTTGAGTAAGTACGGCACTGAATACATCGTCAAGCTGTTTTATTACCCGATAACTTCGTCCCCACTCGTATATACCAAATGCTTTTTAATTAACTACTTCTTTTATCTCCTTGGTGATACCTTGATTTTATACGTTTTCTAACATTTTGATCCTAACACTGCAGAATATAACATTTAGCGAGAACTATATGAGACACTGGTTGCTAGTTTAGGCTCGCCGCTACTCGGTTGGTCATCAGCTGACTACCCGATGGCCATGGGGAGATGTGGCTTTGCGCAAAACGTTTTTTATGTTTTTCACTCATGGTGCTGTGGCTGCTTGATTGTGGATTCGTACCCTTTGACTCTTCTGAGCTTCTCGTCGTTTCGCCTTTCTTGATATCACCAGTTTTCAAGTTACAAAAGTTGATTATGAATGACAGTTCAGTGTATACCACATGACATAACTCGAGAACGTAGCTCCATCCCCTTCTCCGTTTTTACCATGTGTATCAGGATTTTATGTGGATGTTTTCCGCTGAACAATCTCTTCATGGTGCCAGCTGTGTGGTTCAAGATTATCCCCTCCCACCGAATTTTTCCGTGACCAGTGTTCAACGATGTGGTGAATTCTTGTTTGACAGGCTTCCCCCCCCCCCGCACCCATAAAAATCCACATAGATCCCCTGAACAGCGCTGTGACGTGACGGATGTGACTCGCCACTAAGTAAACTCATTGTCCCTTGCCTCCCTCTGACTGGCGTTTTAATTCAAAGGTTTGTTGCCCTGCTTATCCTTTGTCGTCCTACAGGCATATGAACCACTCACTTGGTCACCGACTCTCAACGGGCTGCGACGTTCTCATAATGACCTGCTGCCTGGTAGGTTAGATACATGGTCGAAGGCTCTGTGTAACGCCCCTAGGATAACGCCATACTTCGGCCTGGGCAACCGATTAGTTTCACACCTGCTAGCGATTCGTGAATGCGTGATGCTACTGCTTTCACTCATGCTACCTCTACTGGCTCTAGTTTCCCCAATTTGACTGCGGATAGCGACCTCCGGTCGGTTACTTTTGGCTGTGTTGACAAGATCACTTTGTGTTGATTTTCTGCTTTCATTGGAATTATTTCGTTAAAATCGAGATACAATCAAGTTTCAATTGCGATTCTGAAATTTCCGACCAGAAATACTTGTGTTTTCATCGCTTGGTTTCGGCGATCTTGCTATCGCCATTTTCTCCGTCGATTGGCCGCCATCTTGTTTTCGGAGTATTCACAAAGCCGAAGCAGTCATCCTGTGGTACTTACTCCAAACTTGTCGGATACCATGCAAATGCCCTCACGTGTGTCTTGTGCCAAGTTAAATATCACATTTCATGTGTTGGATTATCAGTTGAGCATTTTCATCGTCTTCGCGAGATCCAACACGATTTCGTCCAAACTATATGCGAAAATTGCCAAAATAAGATACAGCCAGAAAGAGTAAAGCCGACGTGTAGGCCCCAGCGCTTCGTTGCGAACAGCTCCTTTTGTTTGGCCCAACAACCTAGTGCGAAGAGCCTTCAGATTTCGGCTCATTCGTCCTCCTCTGCCGTGCAAACTCACCGACACGAAGTCCAACCGTTGTGAGAAGCCCAGTCGCACCTGGCCTAAATTGTTTACCTTTGTTGTGTCCAACGGACACTGATGTCCCATCAGGTGAAAGTCTGAGTGCTGAAGGCCAGTGGAAAGAACAGAGGACGAAATTACGAAGGAACGTTGGGCGTTTACGTTCTGTAAGTCTACAGTTAGCCACACCACGTGAGGCTGGTAGTATACTTCGCTCTGCAAGGTCATCCTCGTCCGATCAGAGACGTTATCATCTCGTGATATTTCACGCACCGGAGTCCAGTGATCCATCACCCCAAGTGCGCTACGATCACGATGTCGAGTTTTTACAGGGTCTAATTGATAGACTGCTCGACGCTGGTGAGGACTCGGTAAAAGTTAGGCCAATTACCCGTCTTGGAAAGCAAGGTGATCAACAAACTCGGCCTATGAGAATTATTTTTGTGCACGAAGGCAGTCCGAGACTGATCATGTCTCGCCTAACTAGACTGAAAGGTTTGAAGATCCATGTTCGTCCCGACCTGGACCCTGTAGACAGGGAGCGGCTCAAGTCTGCCATCCTTGAGCTGAAACGACGCAGTGGCGAGGGGGAAACAAATCTTCGTATCGTAAATTTTCGCGTGGTTTCCAACAATCCGCGAATCAGGATAAACAGGCTGGTCACACTTCAAGCACGCCCGGTGGCTCCTGCTGCGGCCTGCGAGTAGCCTTCACAAACGTTTGCAGTATTGGGAATAAGCGCGATGAGCTTTGTTGTTTCGTTGCGTTTGAGCGGCCAGACGTAGTGGGACTCGCAGAGACATGGCTGCATTCATAGTTATACATTTAAGAACTTGAACTCAACGGTTACTCGTGTTTCCGATGCGATAGAGTAAAGAATGCCCACGGTGGTGTCTTACTTTACATCCGGTCTTCCCTGCGTTGGAGACTTGTGAGCCCCTACCGAAGTGACGATGGTCTGTGGGAGCTACTGTGGTGCTCCATCCGCCTCCGGCACGGAGAACTGCTTGTGGGCGCAGTTTATCGTAGTCCCCTGGGTCGTTGTTTGGATTGGCTGCCCATTCTTCGGACCCACATGAGTCGTCCACACTTTCTACTTATGGGCGATTTTAACTGTTCTCGAATACGATGGCCTGATGTGCATTTGATGCCTGGACATAGTGAGGTTGAAGCATAGTTCGTGGATTTGGTACTTGAAACTGGTGCATCGCAACACATATGCCAGCCAACACGCATATCAACACGTTCAACCTCGTCCTGTCTCGACCTGATGTTAACGAGCTACGAACCACGAGTGCGTGACGTTAGGATTCTGGAGCCCCTGGCTACGAGCGACCACTCAGTACTGATAGCTGATATGGAATTATCTTTGCCGTATTCACATCCGCTGCAACCAGCTCCCAACTACTGGAAAACGGACTTCGATGGTCTTGCTCGAAACGCGAGCCAACTGGATTGGTCTCTGTCACAAGCTGCATCTATGGAAGATTGTTGGACATTTATAAAAGAGAGATTGACAACATTGTGTTTCCAATGTGTGCCATTGAATTGTCGAAAGGTTGGACCGATTAAACGTCATTGGTTTGACAAGGAGTATGGAAACCTGGCTCGGAGGCGGCGCAGACTGTGGGACAAATTCCTCCTCTCTGGATCTGCCAATGATTACGAAGGGTATAACTGTCAACGGGACCTCTGCAACAGTGCAAAAAAGAATAAACGCCGACACTTTGAAGAGCAGCTTGCAATCGCCGCGAAGACCGCCCCAAAGAGAATCTTTGCATACGTGAAGCGGCGCCTGAAGCCGTCAGGTGATGTGCCAGTGCTGGATGGCCCGGATGGACAGCCCCTAACCTCCAGCACTGAGCGTGCGTCCACGTTGGCGGCGCACTTCGCTTCTGTATTTGCGAATAACCAGGTGTTTGTTCCGAGTTCAACGTGTATCGCTTTTACCGAACTCAATAGTCTGCATTGCGGCGTCGAAGAGGTAGCTCAACTACTCTCCAACCTTGACGGCACCAAACCTGCCGGACCTGATGGCCTTCACCCACTGGTTCTCAAATCACTTTCCACCATCCTCTCTCCTGTCGTGACTGACCTTTTCAACAGGTCGCTCTCCGAAGGTTTGTTGCCGCTTGGCTGAAAATGTTCGGTGGTGAAGCCTATTCCGAAAGGCGGTGACCCTAGCAAAGTAGACAATTACAGGCCAATTTGTCTGACACCTATTTTGGCAAAGGTTGCTGAGAAAATCGTAAAGAAGGGATTGCTGCAGTTGCTACAGTCAAACGAGGTCCTGACGCCCGCACAACACGGTTTTATGCAAAGCTGCTCATGTATTACGAACCTGCTTGTGACGAGGCATGAATAGTTGCAGGCAATACGCAAGGGGAAGTCCATCGACGTGATATTCATCGATTTCAGTAAAGCGGTCGACAAGGTCAGTCATTAGGTTCTCCTTCACAAACTCAGCATGTGTGGTGTCAGTGGCTCACTGCACCGGTGGTTCCGCGACTTTCTTGTTGGACGAAAGTGGAGGGTACAGGTCGACGATCATCTAACAGACTGGTACCCCTCTACAAGTGGCGTGCCTCAAGGCACTGTACTGGGTCCCACTCTGTTCCTGATCCACATCAACGATCTACCGCAGCTTCTCCGGTCGCCGTGTGCCTTGTTTGCGGACGACATGAAGATTTGGAGAGAAACTGACGCTCCCGATGACTGTGGCCTACTTCAGCAAGACCTCCACCGCCTATCCACATGGTCTGCAGAAGTTCTTCTCGTGGTGAACCCAGCCAAGTCTGTATTTATGAGCCTGGGGAAGGGTGCTAACGGCCAAACCTACACCCTTGATGGCCAAACGCTATATCCCACATCTTCCTATATCGTAACGGACTGCACATGCTTTGAGCGCTCAAACGTAGCTTCGGCACATGGTCTGAAGAGGTTGCCACTCGCCTCTTCTCTTCCATCATTAGACCAATGCTAGAGTACGGTTCGCCCGCCTACTTTCCGATTACCCGAGGCGAGGCACAAATAATCGAACGGGTCCAACACGTTGCTACCAGGCTCATCCCGAGTTTACGTGGCTTTGGGCATGAAGACCGGTGCGAGAAACTAGGACTCTACACCTTGTCCTACCGTCAGGTGCGAGTCGATCTCATTATGACCTACCGTATTCTACATCTCGGTGACTTCCCAATGCTAAGGCCAATGCTGCACTTACGAGGGCCATGCAGCACACGCGGACACAGATACAAACTTGTCGTGCCGGATGTGAAATGTGTTCCCCACCCACTGTGCTTCGAACGGAGAGTGGTAAACATTTGGAACAGTTTGCCTGAACATGTGATTGAGGCATCATCTGTGCAACAGTTCAACACGTTGTTAGATTTATATTTTACTAATATTCGATTCAAAGA